CGGTCTTCAAGAGGTCGCGGGAAAATAGGGGGCGGGAAGTGGGACTGAGGGGTGATTTGGTCATTTCGGGTAGGTTCTGGTCGGGTTGATGTGTGAAAAAGAGATTTGGGGTAAATTGCAAATAACCTCGTCATCTATAAACTTCATAGCAGGTAACCCCTTTACTCATTTATTAGAGGCTTTTAACTGCATTTAATTTAAATACCCAATGGTTTCTGCTATGTTGCGCTTGTATATCCTCACTTGGTTATCGCATCAGTTATATACCCTAAAAGGTTTAGAGATTTAAGTGCAATTTTTAAAACTATAGAGATTTAAGTGTAAGTTTTAAAAACTCGAGGATATTAGATATACACGAGACAAAACAAGTGAGGGTATATAAGTGCAAAGAAAAAGAAAACATAGGATATTTAAGGTCAATTAAAGATTTTATTAGAAAGATAAATTACATGTCTCAGTCCTTTACATCATGAACTCAAAGGAGCTACGTGGTATTAAATTGGGAAGAGTGCGTATAAATAAAGTGGGTTATCTTCAGTTTACCCTTAAAAAAATTTCTAGCTTAAAAAAAAGGTGATTTTCTGGTGCTGAAAAATATCACGTAATATAAAAAAATGTATGTAATTTAACGATAATTATTGTAAAATCAATAATGTAAAGGACTTCGTTACTTTATATGTACATCTAATGGAAAATTTTCAGTAAAAAATGGCAAAAGAGGTGGGTTCGTTGGTGGACTGTAACTGGGTCTATTGCGGATGCACAGCACAGCAGCCCGTGATCCTTCCACCGCTGAGAGCGGGAGGTTTTCGCTGCTCTGTGAAGCCAGCCTGACGCGGTGCCCTGCCCTTCAAGAAACGAGTGAGCCCAGCCTTCGCTCGGCCCACACGCATCACTGCCCAACTTGGAACGGGCGGGCCAGCAGAGAGTGCTGCACAACCAGGTCCAGTTACAAGGCCCAACGTTCACGACCACTTAATGCCCCGCTTGGTTACAAGCCCACGCTACTGAGCTCGGCGATCGATGCAGCGTGGGTACAGTAATTTAAAGGACACGATATATTAACAGACAGGCGATGTGGGACTAAATGACTCTCGAAATGCCCGCCTTGTGAGGTGGCTTGGCCAATTTTGGCACCTCAGGCGATGTGGGACTAAATGACTCTCGAAATGCCCGCCTTGTGAGGTGGCTTGGCCAATTTTGGCACCTGACCTTAGCGTTCACGGTTTCTTCTCCAAAATGCCCGCCTTGTGAGGTGGCTTGGCCAATTTTGGCACCTGACCTTAGCGTTCACGGTTTCTTCTCCACAAATATCGAATGCTACCCAGCACGTTCAAATTCCAACTGAAAAGGGGTCTTGATAGCACTCTATTCGGTTTCGTAAGAAGGAAATGTGAAAAGCATGTATGAATATGAAAATAAAAAAAAATGTAACGTTTAACAATAGGTAGGTTAGGTAACAAGCTGATCAGCTAGGTAATAACCAACAAATAGAGTCGTAAAAGTTAAAACATTTACCACTACATAGGTAGGGCCGTAGGGGGCACTAGGGAAAAAGTAAAGTTCAAGAGTCTTCGTCAAAGGAAAATTATCAAATTGATATTCCAATTTGACCTTATTTTTCAACATAGTATTCATTTTTGTCTCAGCGTCCATATGTTATTTTAACTTGTACCCAAATGACAAATAATAATGGAGCCTCTTTGTCACTAGTGGCGAGAATTCTGCCCAACTATACCTTTTTTTATAATTATTTCCAACCCGACCATCTTCATTCAAGTCGACACCAATTTGAATTAGAATTTAGGTTCTAATTAGAGAAATTTGAAGAAGGAGGGGGCTTTATTGATAAGAGGTAAAGAAAGAGAGGACAATTTTATTAGGTAAAAGAGCGAAAGAAATTTGAACCGGGCAAGATTGAAGGAAAATGAGAGTGTAGATTTAACACTTTTCACTTGATTGTTTATGCATAAAATTAGACTTTATTTTAGAATCTATCTTGATAACCTATGTTTTATTTAATTAGATTGACAGGTTATATATTTTTTTATTTTAAAATAAATTAAAAATAAATTAATTTCTAGATCTAATAAATAGTTATGTAGTGAAATCTCTTGTAATTTCTAGTTTAATTCTCTTGTTCTATCTCATTATTTCTTAATTTCATCAATTGCTATATTTTCTTTCATTTTCTATTTTTTTTTTTACTTTTTCATTTTTGGTCTATCTCTTTATTTCTTAGTTTTATTAGTTGTTATCTTTTCTTTCATTTTCATTTTTTTACTTTGTATTTTCTTTCTAATTCCTTTATCTCTCCATCTTCTTTCTCCTTTTCAACCTATTTTTTTATAATTTATTTTATTTTATTTTCCTCTTTTCTTTTCTTTGTTTGCATTTCTGTTCTCTTCTCTCTCTTTCTTTATAGTTTTCATTTTATTTGCCCTTGTAAAAATTCATAAATCCACTTTCAAACCCTTTTCATAAAAATCTCTTTTTCTAAAACACTTAATTAAAAAAACTCCAACCTAAAAAAAAATGAAAGAACCCCTTCAACACATGCTCGTTCTTATATATAATAAGTTTTTAGCACAATTACTAGGGAGGGAATTGTTTTCTATATATGTATAGCCTATGATGGGCGGGCCAGCATAGAGCACTAGAATATCCAGGCCCAGTTCTTCATTAAAAAAACTCCAACCTAAAAAATGAAAGAAACCCTTCACCACATGCTCATTCTTATATATAATAATAAGTTTTTAGCATAATTACTACGGAGGGAATTGTGCTAGCCTATGATGGGCGGGCCAGCATAGAGCACTACAATATCCAGGCCCAGTTACAAGGCCCACCGTACACAACCGCCTAAAAACCCCGGTCGGTTACACGCCCACGGTACTGAGCTCGGCGGTGGTCGCGTCGTGGGTACCGTACTTTATAGGACAGAGTATATTGATAGATATGCGATGTGGGACTAAATGACACTCGAAATGCCCGCTTTATGAGATGGCTTTGGTACTTCAGCATTCATTTAGTTTCACAAATCTCAATTCCTACCCAACACATCATAATGCCAACTGTAGGGATCTCGATGGCAATCTACCCGGTTTTTTAGGAAGGAAGAGTGATAAGCATGTACGACGAGGAATCAAAATGTAACACATGACACGATAGAAAATCTAAACAGGCTTTGACAACAGGGTTCGGTATTTTCCGAGCACGCTGATTTCGAAAAAGAAAGAACTAGACTCTGGTCATTTAAAATATATTAATAAAATTTATAGTTTTTTTAACCAAAATACATACCTTTGGATTTGATGAACTTGACGGGTCATCACGGTCTCTAACACTCTTGCTCATGTTTTTTAATTGTTGAAATTTTGTGTTCACGGATAATTGAGGGTAAAAAGATTTTATAAGATTTGAGAATGCGCAACTAGCCGTTAAACTAGCCATTAAAAAGTGATGAGTATGGTAGTTAACACCTTTCTATAAATTTGGCATATGTAACCAAACAAAAGAAAAGAAAAACTTGCTATTTCTATAAATTAATGGGCTCATTTCCTTGTTTTGAACCAAACAAGTAAAATACAAAAAACAAGAAAATTGTTACTTTTTGACTTCTCAAAATTTCCCATGTATTTTTTTTAAGAAATACAAGAAAATCTATATTTTTTTTGTTTTTCTTTTCCTATAATTTATAGAAATTGAATCAAACACCCCCTAAGTGACAAACTTATGTGCTAGGTAATATTCTACAAGTAGAGTCTTCGATCACTTACCCTTGTATGTAAACTTCCATCTTATTGATGTTTGTATTTTATACTCTAATATGTTACTATAAGTTGCAGTTTCCATGCACCGATATCTGAACTATTTTTACTTCTCAATTAATTTTGCTTGGATTATTTTTGGCATTGTCTCTATATTTTTTCACTATACCAAAAAACCAAGGTATTTAATGACTAAGTATTACAATTCTAAACTCTAATGGCTAATTGCTATATAATATTCTGAAAATTATTAAAGCAAATGTTCTTATCTAAATCAAATAAATAAATCAGTGGTCTTAAAAGATGTTTCTACCAATAACTTTGTTGTCTTTTGGTCCATTCAGACTCTCACAAATTATTTGATTTTTTTCCCTTAGAGTCTTTCACATTTATTTTGGCATGTTCATTATTTGATTTGATCCTTCAACGTTCATGCATATATTTTATTCTTTTACATCAGTCTTCACATGTTCGTTATTTAATTTGTTCTTTCAATATGTTGTACGGAGCAAACCAGCTTTTTCCTTCTTTCTCCAAATCAGGTGCAACAAGTATGTTCAAAGCAAATCAATTTTTTTTTCAATCACTTTTTTTAGAAATTCTGCATTGATGAGAAAATATTGGTTGTTAAATTGTTAATTAATTATAGGTTAGCTTCAGAAACTTTCCTAACCTTGGAGATGTTTGTATATAAACTACATCAGATATTTTTATTCGAGAAAGTTTCCTTAAACTTTGGAGTGTTTTAACTAGGCCTTTTTCTATTCTTCTAAATCCCCTAAACGTTAGAAGTCTCATTGATCTTTAGATTTTCTCACCAGATGTTACATCTGTAATTGGAAATAACTCAAAATCTTTTTGCAAGGAAGAACTAATAATTCAGTCATTTTCCTTTTAAATACAATACATCCCCTTTCTAAATTAATTTGGATAATCTTCACTACAAAAAAAAGAAAGAGAAACAACTACTTTTAATCATAAATATTAATTATTTAGTGTGTGATTGACATACATTCTAATTCTAACACTCATCGCACCCACGCATAGTACACTCATTCATAGTTTGCACTCAAAGGAAAAAATCATAATCATCCACTAGATGATCAATGGTTGTTATTAAACAATAGTTCGTCCATTGTTTTTTTGTTAGTGGAGAGGAGCTGAATCCTATCTTCTTTGAAGGACATTTTAGTTATTTGCCAATTACAAATAAGAAATCTAGGGAGAAAAAGGCAAGTTTTTCAAATTAAAACAATTGATGAGATTATCTATAATACCCCTAAGTTCCTAGTGTTTTTTTTTAATATCCCACAAATAAATTATTGTATTTTACTAAATATTAGATTTTATATTGATATATAGAGAAATTTTTATGCCTAGGAAGGCACATGAGGAGGAGGAGGAGGAGGAAAAGAAAGAAAAAAAAAGAGGGTAGACATAGACTTCGTGAGACAAAAAAAATTGTAACTATAATTAAACAAATGTAGTGGCTTATTTTAAGCTAATCAGCCTTTAAGTGCCTAAAGGTTTATATGCCCTCACATATTATTAGCAAAACCTACGTACCCTAAAGTTTTTAAAGTTTTATTTAGAAATTCTGCATTGATGAGTAAATATTGGTTGTTAAATTGTTAATTAGTTATAGGTTAGCTTCAGAAACTTTCCTAACCTTGGGGATGTTTGTATATAAACCGCATCAGATATTTTTATTCGAGAAAGTTTTCTTAAACTTTGGAGTATTTTAACTCGGCCTTTTTCTATTCTTCTAAATCCCCTAAACGTTTGAAGTCTCATTGATCTTTAGATTTTCTCACCAGATGTTACATCTGTAATTGGAAATAACTCAAAATCTTTCTGCAAGGAAGAACTAATAATTCAGTCATTTTCCTTTTAAATACAATACATCCCCTTTCTAAATTAATTTGGATAATCTTCACTACAAAAAATAAAAATAAAAATAAAAAATAGAGAAACAACTACTTTTAATCATAAATATTAATTATTTAGTATGTGATTGTCATACATTCTAATTCTAACACTCATCGCACCCTCGCATAGTACACTCATTCATAGTTTGCACTCAAAGAAAAAAAATCATAACCACCCACTAGATGATCAATGGTTGTTATTAAACAATAGTTCGTCCATTGTTTTTTTGTTAGTGGAGAGGAGCTGAATCCTATCTTCTTTGAAGGACATTTTAGTTATTTGCCAATTACAGATAAGAAATCTAGGGAGAAAAAGTTATAAGTTTAGGTAGGTTTTACTAGACTTCCCCAAGTTCAGTGAATTTTTTTGGTTGGTTGGGTTTTTTTGCGGGTGTGGGGGGTTGGGGGGGGGGGGGGGTT